CCATCCGTCATTGTCATTGGTCGGCTCTTTTAGGCCCTAAAGCCCGGAGCACATCTGAAACCTTATCACCAACATCACCCACCACTACCTTAATCATCTTCCCGTTAGAATCGAATGCTACCTCCACATGCCAAATCATTGGTGGGCTCCACCTTGTCTGCCGCCCCGTCTTATTTCGCCACGTGTTGTCCTCTCCTCGCTTTCACACGTGGCAATGTTTCACGACGAGTAAAATATTAGTAGTTGTAGGAGGAGGAAAATATTTATTTTCTCTTTTTATTTTCGTTTGGGTTAGTTTATTGTTAATTAAACTAATTATTCCCAATCATTCCCATGGATTGTGAGCAATATAATATTCCCCACTACGTCAACTCAAATGTCTATCTCACTCTTCTACCTAAAAAAAAAAAAAAGAGGGAAAATTCTGCCTTATTTTAGTTATTATGATCTAATAAAAAGATTCATTTTATTTTCTAATAAATATATTTTTTATTTAGAGAAAAAAAAAAATAGTCACCAATGTGAATTTCTCTTTGTGGGTATGATTAAATACCAAGATGTGTTTGATTTTATAAATAATAAAATATTATATATTACAACTTTTTTATGTTTATAGATTAAATTAAATTAATGGACATACTTAAGTAATTATCAAAATTATGAGTTAAAGTTGGGGTTTTAAACTATTATTAAGAGCAGAGAAAGGGATTAAGTCGAAGGTCCCACCTAATTAAAAAGGGTTGAGATATAAGACGGTTAGATATGTGATCATCAAGATGCTAAAATTGTAAATCATCAGGACCCACACAAATATTAATGCATTGAATTTTCAGATTCGTCGGTGGATTAACCGTACCCTCCTTATTGGATATCACTTCCCCCTCATTTTTATCTCACGGACACATACAATCTAATAATTAAATTAATTAATCGGAAAATAATAATTAATTAACCAAATTTAAATCATAAAAGATAAAATTCAACAACAAAAATAATATAGTATTTATACACTAATAATAACACAATTAAATTTTTAATGAGAAAAGATCAGTAATACAAATTGAATATATAATTTGATGTAAATCCATAATTTTATATAAAAATAAATAAATTGGTAAATAGTAGAGGAGAATTAAGTAGAAAACTTGAGAAAGAAGTAATTAGAGAGTTATGTAGTGGGGGACACTGGTGTGGTCTGCGACTAGGTGAACATATATATATATATATATATATATATATATATACATACATACAAACACATATAGAGCTGATGGGTTTCCATCTTGATGCTAATGGATGTTGTCTCCTCCCTCCTGCAATCTCCATCACCAAACAAATTAATACCCTTCAATAATTCTTAATAATTATTTTCTTTTGCACTATACCATGCATGCATATATGTATATACATATATCGACACCCTAAAGCATAATACATTCTTCTACTATTCCAACCAAATTATATATAAATACAATGCATATATAGTTCACATAATCATGTGTATGTATATATATATATATATATATATATGCATATATGAACACCATGATCGTCTAAAATTTTTTGTGGAATATCGAATAATGGCATCCATGTGTAAAAAAGTGAGAAGGCCAAGTAGTACTCGTCCTCTCTTTTTTATTATGTGTGATTTCTGTTTACCCACTTACATCTCCATGTGATTCCACATATGTCATTAAATAATATAGACTGTAATTTTTATTTTAAATATTACCATTAATTCTAGCATAAATTATTTTGTATAAAATTCGCATGTTTATCAGATACTAAATTTTTACTAACAAGTAATTTTATCTATGCACTACTAGCTAACAATATTTTTTAGATAATTATATTGGAAAATTTTGTTTCTTTCTAATTTTAAAAATATGTATTTAAAATATAATTATGAAAATTTTGGTATAGAAATTGAACTACTACTTTTAATCCCATTGTATCCATAAGTAAAAAATAATAATAATAAAAAATTGTGAGAATAATATGTCCATTAAACAAAAAAACAAAAAGGCATTACATATTTAAATTATATATAAAGGTTAATTTAAATAGTATCTAATTGAGTAAAATAGAGTCCATCATTGACTGTGTGACTGGTATTTCTATATTTTTATATTATAAGCTTGAATTACAATATATCTTTTAAGACATATTTATTATCATATTGAATTATAATTAATGTATGTATATGTAACGAC